TTCCCTGTTTAGCCCTTAGCATCTCCTCCCCCACTACAATTGGGCTTGGTAAAAGCCATCTACTAGAGCCAATAGAATACTTTTTCAGCTCTAGTTGCTGAGGGGGCTGTTTCAGGGGTTCACAGCTGGGGAGAGGGGTTAGAATCAGTGCAGAAGCACAGGGCACAAGACTGATCATAGAAGTGCCAATGACGCTGATTGCTCGGGTGGCAACTTAATGGCCCACTCCTATGAAAGGCAGCAGAAAGTCCTGGACATAATTCTCTGGAATGATGGGTGGTATTCAACTAACTGTAACACATCTCATCAATGGAAGGATTTCCTCTTGCGCAACAGGACCTTCCCCACCATCTCCTCCCTCCTTGTGCACACCCTGAAAAATGCTACAATTCCCAGAGTTCCCTGTGAAGAAGGATTGATTGTTAAACCACTCTGGGAATCATAGCTCTGGGAGAGGAATCAGAGATTCCTAACAACTCTCAGCACCCTTAACAAACTGCAGGTCCCAGAATTCTTTGAGGGAAGCCATGACTGTTTAAAGAGTCATCATTTAAATATATGGCCTGAATGTGTCCTTCATCTGAACAGAACAGAGGACAAGAGACCCTGGGCAATCTCTGAAAGTAGCATGAAGGGGAAGGGGTGGAGCTGTGCCGCCATTTTCACTGAGTCCAACAGGACTGGTGCTCCGCTACTAACCATGTTAAGTACTACAGTCAGGAGCCACTCTTAGTGCTGAAACCACTGAAACACTGTGGAGTCTGAAGACTGGACAATCGGTTTCTTTACTGTGTGTTATGTGAGCTTGGCCACAATTCACTTGTCCCATGCCTAGAAAATACGAGTCCAAGCGGTTTTCCGTTTGCCCTGCCAGTTTTCCTGGCAAAACCTGCTCATTACCTCTGAATCAGAGCAAACATCAATCCACAGAAAACCCAATTGATGTTTGCTCCAGTTCGGCGGTCAGGTTCTCCTGAAGAAAAGCAAGAGGCCCTAGTAGAGGACCAAATCATAATGAAGCAACCTGGGCTTCTTTTTTCACCAGACACCAACTAGGGTAAACCATACTGAGCCAGCCAATATAAATATTAGACAGGGAGCCTCACTCTGTCTGCCTCACTGCAATGAAGGGAGCTATACTTTGGTCACAATCCAACCTAGACTGTTGCCCATGTACAGCTTCAACAGCCACCACTGTCTGCTGAAGTGCAGTGGAAGTCCCCAAAACTGTTTTGTAGCACAGAAAGGACTGGGGGGAAAGCTATGTCAGGGGCAGGAATGGAGACAGTTCAGTTAAACACTATCTGACCTAAAGGGCATTTGATACCTCACACAGCTTGCCATTTGACCTGCTTCATGCAACCTGATTCATAAGCCTGACTAGTAGTAAGCGCCTATAATAGGATTACAGTCAAAAGACCACACAGAAGACAAGGCATGTGCCCCTTGTCTCACGTGGGCCTGCACACACTGAAGTGCTCAAGGCAGGTGGACTTACCACCATCACTGGCTCCTTCTCCACTGGCTCCTTCTCCCCCCAGTTTTTCCTCCCACATTAACAGCAGCGGCAGTGGCAGGACAGGTGTTCCGGGTCCATGTCATCAAACAATATCTCCATGATGAAGAGTCGTTCTTCAGAGGTACCATGGGTGAGGTCACCCCAGACAGTGCCGGCTCTGCCACCATTTTGCAGCAGTGGCAAATACTGCTGTGAAATCTTAAACAATATTTGTTGCAGCAACAGCAAGTAAGTCTATGCACACACTAGGGTATTCATGCATATATGGGCTGCTGTTTCCATGTGTCCATTTAAGCACCTTTATGCAGTTTTATGCCTCTGAAATCCATCTCAATGTTTCCCATAGATAGATATAGATAGATGATAGATAGATATAAAGATATATTGATATATTGATATATTTGCACTGTGTGTTGTTGAACCCTCCCTCTATTAGTACTCCACACCATAACCATATGTTCTGCAAAGCTGTTTTTGAAATTCAGGTCTTCCAAAATACCAGATTTGCACACAGGAGCAATACTTCTTTAAAAAAGAAATAAAAATATTATTTCAAAACAGGGTACCTGAGGTCCATTGTGGCATGTGTTTAGGTATGTGTTTTCCAATATATCAGATTTGCACAAATGAGCAATCAATTTGTTTTTTGCTTTTGTTTTTAAAGAAGTGTGTTGCTCCAAGGTAGGCAAGGATTTGGAGTTGCTCGCATTAAAGGCTGCTGCTTCCTTTCCTTCCTTTTTCTTTTCCAGCCTCCTATACCTGCAAGGGCAATTCTTATTTTTAATACAGCTGTTTTGTGCAAGAGATGTTCTGCACCAAAGAGATGTTTTAAAAATAAAAACACCACAAATGTGCCTTCAGCAACCACCAGTGGAAAAGGGCAGGCTCCATCCTTTCCTTTGGGTTGATGGAAAAGAAAAGGCTGGGGGTGCTATAGAAAGCACCCAATTAAACATTATTACACATGTTGAAAGGCGCTACAGCTCATTCACAGCCATTCAATTTTATATTGAATTTTCTTCCTTTATCAGGTTATTCACAGATCAGGAAAATCTGAAATTAGTGGAAGGGAAGTAGGAACTGCTACTTGGATAAGAACATTTTGTAATGCCACAAAATGGAAGAGACACAACCTACAGTACTTTGGGGGGTGTTGTGAGGGTAAAATGTAGAGAAGGAGAAATATAGACCATCTTGAGCTCTTTGGAGGAAATATGGGATATGAATGTAATAATAAATAAAAACAAGCAAGCAAGCAAGCAGCTTCAAATCCATATTCAACTCCAGGGTGAACAAGCTCTAAGTTTCACAGTAGTCAACATTTAAACTTTAAAGAGGTCCTGCCTGGGCCGCCTTTCCCATATGGCTCACTCTGAGGAATAACCCTTCCTCAGATCAAGGAGTAGGTGTCAGGCTTCGGGGAATCGGATCCCTCCCCTGGTGGCAGTAAATAAGCAGATCAAATGAAAGGAGCAGTCTTACCAGATAAGTTCTTTAATAATCACAGCAAGAGACAAAGGAATGCATCTCTCTCTAAAAAATGGCGTTGCTCCCAGTAAAGGTTTGCCCCCCTCTGTCCCCATTAATCTACGTCACGCCTATGCCGGGTAATCTGAGCTTGTTACTGCTGTGCTTTCTATTCTATCACTTTCCAAGCTCGTCTAGTCTTAGCCGAGGGGGGCGGGGTCAGGAATGCTGTCCAAGGACACTGACTCTGCCAGCTGTCTCTCTTGTGACATTTCCTCTTCTAGCTCTTCCTCACCCAGTATTTCCCAGCTTTCCCCCTCTGGACTATGCCCTTCTGCAAACCACTGTTCTAAATCAATACTGTCCTCCTGCCCTTGGGAAGGTTCAGGAAAAGCAGGTAGGGGCTCCCACCATTCCTGCTCAGTCCAGTCCCTGACAGTAGTTACCATTCCAGAAAGCACTTTAGGGATGCCACCACCACAGCAATGCTCCTAGGGGTCATGCCACAATGGACCAGGATGAGTGGGGACAGCAGTAGCAAGCAAGAAACAGTGGCTGGCAGCCCAGCAGGTGTAGAGGCAGAGGCAGCTGCAGAAGGGCAAATAGGCAGAGGGCCCTCGATACTCTCCCTAAATCAAATCCTGTGTAGAAACCTCTGGGTTTCGTGTGGCAGGATGTAGTCTATTGTACACAAACAGGTCCCTTCCATTGTTCTATCCACGTTTGCGCCTGGCCCGGCTCTTCGCTGGCACGTACCTCCCAGAATGAGACTTTTTGTCTTGGGAAGGTTGTTCAACATCCTAGCCCAATCAAATCACAAAATGAAAAGTTTGGCATGGTGAAAGAGTAAAGAGTAGTTCAATCTTTCCCTCACATTACTTCTGTCAGAAAGTCTGCCTCTTATTTTCAGAACTCTGAAAGTGGGTATCACTACTCAAAGACACACCCCCCCATAGGACATGAAGAGCTCAATGAGTGCCCAAGGTACGTTTAAAGATCCTTATATTGTTGCTGTTATGAGGAACATTAGTCACTATTTCTGCATTATCTTTAATTAAATTCAAATATTAAGCAGCAATATTTCAGCTGTTTTCATTTATTTTTTATATAGAGCAGCGGGGAAAGCAATTACTCTACATCTCTGATGTGCTAAATTTAATTTTCAAATCACGCCTTTTTTTCTTATTTAATTATGAGCACCAAGTCTCTCCCCCCTCCTTAATTCAGTCCTATTCCTGCTCCTGTAAACTTCTGTGTTAGATGATCAGGTGCAGTAAATTGTAAAGGGGAGCAAGGTAACATTGGTTAAGAATCCTACACGGAGGGGGTCCAGAGATTTGTAAACTGACAATAGAAGTGGCATATCTGTGTTCCCCTTGACAAATGCCCCTTACATTAGTGCTGAAATGAATCCTGCTCCCTAAATCCTTATCAAAAAAATTCTACTGCAGCTTCGGAGACTGAGGGTTGGATCCTAACTAATAGCACACTCCTAGACATGCCTACTCAGAAGTAAGTCCTACTGAATGCAATGGAGCTTACTCACAGATAAGTGTGGTTAGGGTTCCAGCCTTAATCATACCTTTAATGAATCTACTCTAATACAGCCCTGGATGTCAGCAGAATATTTAGTACTATATCATACCAGTATTTGACATCAAGTACATAATAGCCAATGTTAAATTTGTTATAGCCCATCATGCAAATAGGAAAAATGTGCCCAGAAAGTAATTTTCTCCTTTGGAACCAAAGGGGATCCAGTAATGTTTTGCCTCACTAGAAATGCATTTGATGGTTACACTATATTTGATGCAAGTTAAAAAGGGAATTTTTCTAAGGTATAATAATACTAATACATAGCAGCCTGGGCAAAATGTTAAGCTCATTAACTGAGGAGCAAGGTTTTCTCCATACACAGGATATACACACTTTGCATTGTCTATTCTGAATTTATTTCCTCAGTTTATTTCATTACATTCTTGACCTTTTCCAGGCCAGTTTAAACCCTCTTGGCCCCAGATCAGGTAAAAAACAGAAAGTTATAGCCGCAAATTCTTGAGCTGGCAGGATACAAAATTCTGTTTTACAATTACTGTATTTCTTTAGATAAAGTTTTAGAGGAAGGTGAACAGTTCTATTGGCTACCCAATTTCCAGCTGGTGGAATGAAACGCAACAATAAAGGGTCGTTTTAGTTTTATTTGTATCCAAGTTTGCTGCAACCCCTCTAAAACACGTCCTCCTAACGAACGAGGGCTGAGATCGCCAAGGCACGGGAATGAACAAAGAAAAGGGATCGTTCTCATCGGCTCTTCATTAATATCGTTATTCCTTGCCCCAGTGGCCCACTGGGTGCATTGCGCCGCCTGCGAGCCTTTTCCCACGAAGCTGAAAACCAATAAAAGCAATCTTGCGCCACAATCCGATACGAGCTTACATGGAAGTAAGCCCCGCTGCGTTCAGTTAGCCTTACAGGCAGAAACACATGCACCGGAATGCATCCCTAAGGCATATTTAAGGAAGGAAGGAAGGCAAGAGGCCAGACAGAAGTCAGGCTGTACTAAAATAAAGAAATAATCATCTTTCCACATTTCGGAATTAAAGATGGGAGGACTTTAAACAATAACAATATTTAAGGTGCAACAGAGATTGGGGGATGGGGGCAAGTCCGCAGTGTACTCTGCCACTGATATGTGTAGGTGCTTTTTGCTTTCTTTTTTGTTTATTTATCTCGCTACAAGGGCCTGGCCGGTTTGCAGTACAATCCTAGTATAGACGTCTACTCGGAAGCAAGCCCTCCTGAGCTCAAAGGCACTTTCTCCCAGGCAAGCGTATAAAAAGGAATGCAGCCTCTCGGAGCGCCATAAGCGACCCTCTCAAGATGGCGGCCGCGTCGGAGGCGGCCCTGACCTCCACATGATGGCAGCTGGAAGAGAGACGCCTGCTTGCCCCTACCAAGATGGCGGTAAGCCCTTCCTCGCCGGAGAAGGTATCACTTCCGGCTGGCGCTCCTCCGCTCCTCTTTGGCTATGGCCGCAGCGGGTCTGTCAGACGCAGAGCTGCGGGCGGAGCTGCTGGCCCTCGGCTACCAGCCGGGGCCCATTACCGATTCCACCCGCAAGCTCTACGCCAAGAAACTCACCCGGCTGAGGGCCGAGGTGGCCGCTGGGCTGAGGAGCCGCGGCAGCGCCGCCCGGACACACCCTCAGGGCCCGAGCGGCCCCGCGATGCCCAAGGCCGCGGCCGGGCCCAAGGCGGCTCCCCGGGGGCCCCGCGTCCCGGTTAGGAGGGAGGAGAGCGAGGAGGAGGAAGAGGAGGAGGAGGAGGAGGAAGAAGAAGGGAACGACTACGAGCCGCCTCGTCGGGAGGCGACGAGCGGGAGTCGAGGGCTGCTGCCTCAGAGCAATGACTGGCGGGCAGACAGCGGGCTCGCCGCCGCCCGGAGGCCCCAGTTGACAGCTCGGGAGGGAGCGACGCCGAGCAGCCGCTGGGAGGAGGGCAGTAGCGGGTTGGCTTCGAGGAGAGCCCGGCTGGAGGCGGGAGAAGGCTTCGAGGCCCCTTACCAAAGGGAGGCGGCGGCGCCCAGGTTCACCTCCAGCCCTTCGTGGGGAGCAGCATCCCCAGGAGGTGGAATAGGGTTAAGTCCCAGCAAGTGGTGGGAAAAGGAGCAGAGCGTGAGCCCCAGCCTTTCCTGGAAGCCCCCCGTGGTGGGGGGCAGTGCTGCAGGCTTCAGTAACAGGGCCCAGCTAGAGGCCGAAAGGGGGGTCACCCCAAGCTCCTTCAGTAACAGGGCCCACCTAGAGGCCGAAAGGAGGGTCACCCCAAGCTCCTATTTGGGGTCACTGACCCAAAGGAGCGAAGAGGGGCTGACCTACAGGTCCCCGTGGAGAGCGCAGAAGGAGGTTGGGCTCGCGCCCAGGAGTTTGAAAACACCGCCATGGGGGGCAAGAGAGTTGAGTAGGGAGACACGCTGGGATGGGACGCGCCAGCATGTAGGCTTGAAACCCCAAGCTCAGGGCATAAGGAGGAAAGGCAGAGGCCTAGAATTTTATCTCTCCTGGTTCCTGTGGCTGGCAACCATAGGGCTGCTGGTCATTTTCCTGGGCATCCTTTGGGTGAAGATGATGGGACCTCCCCGACTGGAAGGGCCTGAGAATTGTACGTGTGCGGGATGTAACGCTGCTTTTCCTCTTCAACCCCGCTTCCATCTCTTCTTCCTCTTACAGATAGCCTCATTTAGAGTTTTGTTGTTCCAGTCCCTTTTCTTTTCAGCTTGTTGCTTACAGAAACACAACTTGTAGAACTTTTTGTGGCAAAAGTTAGCATCCGTTCCTTCAAAAGCTCATAATCAATGTACAAAAATGACTGAGGCTGCATGCTCACTATGTCTTCAAAGCACATTTCCCCCCTCAATGAATTCTAGGCGCTGTAGTTTGTTAAGGGTTGCTAGGAATTGTAACTCAATGATGGGTTAACTGCAGTACCCAGAATCCTTTGAGGGAAAGAATGTAGTTACAATGCGCTTTAAAGTTATAGTGTGTGCATAGCCCAAGGATGAATACCTTTTCAAATAACCATTACAGGAAGTTTGTTCTGGCCCAGGTTCTAAGGATATGTTGTCAAAAGAAAGCTTTATGATGCCTTTCAGACTGGCTGCCTAGCAACTACTGATCTTGAAATGTTTAATAGTTGCACACACCAGAGAGATTAAGCAGATGAAAGGGTTCTTTCTACCTTTTTGAAAAGGATAGACTGAATTCTCCTGATGTATCAAATAATAATTCTCTTGTATGACTTTAGAATGACAAGTGGGAGGTGGACATGGTTGTTACTAATAGGATGTTTCCTTCACTGTCTTAGACTACCACTCCAAAAATCATAACGGTTACTTCAGTAACTACAAATTCATGATCAATTGGACAGTTTTTCTGGTCACTTTGTTTTTGCAAAGCATTGTGGGAAAATGTGTAAAAGATTCTTCCCACCCACTTGTATTTTAAAATCTGGTGAAATTTTATGTGGTAATATATATTGGCTGTTACCCTTATGTTACAGATTTATGATGAGGTAGTGGGATGTTCTTACTCATTCCAGAAATCAGTCTAGCATCCTTTCACCAGCATTACAAAGTAACTTTTCCTACAGTATGATAGCAAAATACTGTCTCAGTCAAGATTTGTCTGCACTATGTTTTAATCCATAAGTGTTCAAGAAGCTAAATCACATTTTCTGTTTATAGTTACATTCAGAATCAAAACCCCAGATACTCTGCAAAGTAAACAAATGTGCTTATTTTGACATGAATGCAGAATAGTTATTTCTCTTGTCTTGTTACTATGTTATGTAAATCATTTCCTTTTGATGGGAAATCTATGGGTGCTTAACTTTGCAGTAAGTCCCATTGAACAAAATGGGGCACTTCCAAGGAACATTATTAGGTTCGTATTTCAGGTTTAACAAAATAAAATGCTTAGAGAATAAATTCCAGAAGGGTAGCCATGTCCATCTTCTGTAACAAAACTAAGTAGGATTTAATCCGCAAAAGTTTATGCCACAATGAATCTGTTAGTTTTGAAGATGCTACAAGACTCGTTGTTTTTTTAAAAAATAAATCCTTATTTCTTCTTGTTCAGTTAACCTATTGCCCATGGATTGTGAAAGAACTAAAGAAGGTGTAAGTGTGAATCTTCTTACTATCTCCAATGTTAAATTTTGTTAATAAGTACAATGTACAGCTTACCTGTGACTGCTATCAGCCCCAGTCAGTTTGGCCAAAGGCTAGAGATGATGAGGAGTTTGGTCCAACAATATCTGGAGGGCCACAGGCAGTGCTTTTTTTCTGGGGGGGATGCAGAACCCTAAACATTTTGTGAGTCTAAGTTTGGCCTCATTGAGGGACAGTATTTCATTAAGAGTAGGAAAATGAGAGTATTCCTAAACATTTTTTTTAGAAAAAAGCACTGGCCACAGATCACTTAGTATCTGTGTTGCTACAGAAGTAAGCTTCTGCTATTTTCCAAGAGAAATCTAATGATTTATTGATGTGCAATTAACATACAGCTTCTTATAGATTAGTAATTCAGACCATGTAAATCTAAGCTGCTGCAAATCTAAATCCTTCTTATCTTACAGAAATATTCGTTAGTCAGTTGTAACAAAAGTGAGACTGATTTGTGACAAGGATTTCATCTGTAAAGCTACTTTTCAATAACAAGCTTAATAGAGCTAACAGCCTTTAATCTCTCCTGATGTGCGCATGTAGTTGTAACTTTTTCTATAACATGTAGCTGAATAAGACAAACCTTGTTATACAATATAGTGCATATAATTAAAATGAAAGCCCTTGATTTGTTTTTTGTACATACGTAGATTTAAGATTATTTATCATCAAACTTACTTAGAATATAAGAATTTGAGATCTGAGGGCTGTATAGTTTTTGTACCCCCCCACCCCAAAATCCAATGTTACAGTGCACATAATCCACAGGATGTGATGGATTTTATTCTGATAGTGACTGCAGTGAAGGGAACTGATATATAATGAGTCCACTCATTCTCCCCATCATCATACAAAATGATATACCTTAGCAATGACATTGCAGAAAGAGAGAATTAAACTTCTGGCAAGAAATGAGGTCTTATGAGTCCATCCTTAGTTTTCAGTAGCTAAATTAGAGCGCATGAGAAATGTTCTATTTAATAGTTAGTTGTAATTTTTGTAGTTGGTTGAATTAAAGATCTGTTGAATAATTTTCTCTCTTAATTTTTCAGTACTGTCAGGAAAAACATGAAGAAATGGTAATGACCATTCTGTATGAACTATACAATTATCTTGCAGTTCAAGCTGGTGAGTTCTTATTTATCTTTTTACCAATCACTTTGTTCAAAGAAAATAGGTGTATACTAGCTAGGTATTTTCAACCTTAATTTGAATTTAAAAGAGCGAGGACTGTTTTGTTTCCCTTCAAAGGCTGCAGAGGAATGTAGGAAAAACAGCCTTTTTAAATCTGAGCTGCATTATTATTAAAACAATGACCCCCTAGTATGGCACTGATGTTTTCACATAGATAAAATGAGATTTAGGGTCATATTCAACTAATCCATTGTGGTAGTGTGAGACCATGAAAGGATTCCCACTAGCGCAATGGGAATTCCCTCCTTTCCTCCCCCTGCACATAGCTGTGCCATTTCCAAATCAGCTGCGGGAGGATGGGGGAAAGCACAGTACAGATTTGATGAGAAGAGAGGGGGACAAGGTTCCATCAAGTAAGGAAAATCCTTATGCTAACATAACCTTAGCCTTTGCGCTATGTCAAGCATTTCAGTTCTCAGGTGTGCTTTCCTGATGTGACCCCCACTCCATGTCCAAAATAAAGATGCAGTTCACAAGTTAAGTTCAAGACCTTCTTCTAGCTTTCACAGATAAACAGCGTAGTTCTAAAGGGCTGGCCAACACAATCCAGCAATTTCCAGAACACTGTTACATTTAGCAGATGACTAATCAAAATATCCCAAAGGATATTGATACACTTTTCCCTGTGAAAGCCATGGTTGTGTGCTGATGGTGAGCTCATCCTTCACCTATCTCATCCTGGATATATGGAACGTTTCCAGGAATGAGTTCCCTGATCACAGCAATGTATATGCCCCCTTTCCACCAGGCTGGCCCATTTTATATCATTAAGCGTTACGTTTCTCTGTGTGTATCCCAGTCTGCATTGCAGAACTGAACTGTGTCTGGAAAAACCTTTGGAGGTCACTACTAGGCAGCATTTCTTTAACGCCAACAAGGTCCTAGATGCAGTAATCCTTTGCACACATTGAACACAGTGGGACTTTCAAATCAGAATGCAAAAGATTGCACTGTTAAATAACTTCTTGCGTAGTTTTCAAGATAGTTTGTATCTTGAACATTAATTTTTTTTGCAGCTGTCAACACAACAGACATTTTAATAGCTGGCCCAAACTACTGTGTGGGCAGTGGATGGTAGGGATTTTATGCCACTGTTTCATATAGTAGGCTTGTTTCCTGAATTTCAGTGGTTCTTAAGCTTTGTTGAAATTAATTTGTTTGTTCTTTGTACATCACATTTTCTTACCTTGTGGCCACTCTGCAAGGAAGGATACTTAAAAGTCTTTTGAACTAAAAATCAATGGCTGGTTATGTTCTTTATAACCACAGTGCTGAACATTCACAGTGGGGGGTGGTGCATAAACTGCTTGCACTCCTGAAGAATTCGGCTGCTTTTCAGTTCAGATTTTGAAGTTTAAGTTTAAAATTGGGTTGTTTCATCAGCGTGTGGTGGAAATATCAAAGCGTTCTTGATGGCTTCATGGCCTTGCAGATGAGAAACCAGTTTTCAAAAGAAAACTGGCACTGGACAACTGCTTAACTGTCAGGCTGTATCTTAGAGTGTCTGTTACGATAGGCAGCAATCCCGTCTCACTCCCCTCTTGTGTTTATTATGAAAGTTGTAGTAGTAGTATGCCACCCTTCTTCCAAAGATCACAGGGCAGTCACAACAAAATGGCAACAACAAAATGAGAAAACAAAATACATAATAAAAACAAGAACAAAGCTTTAGCCCTCCTCCCACAAGCACATTTTAAGGGCCATAGAATGTTAATCAGCCAAAGGCCTGGTTATAGAGAAATGTTTTTGCCTGGCACCTAAAGATTTGTAATGAAGGCATCAGGGGAACCACAGAACATAACCTGACCAAAAGCTAAGTGGCAGGCCCACCCTAAAACTTTTTCAGCATTGGAAGCCGGTCAACGTGTAACATCCCTGATCCCATCCCGAATGTGAATCATAATGAAAGCATTTTTTTTAAGGGGAATGTGGGGGTGTCCTCAGACATGTTATAAATCTTAGTATAATTCAGTAAATTTTTCAGGCACTGTTTAATAGTATCCTATTAGCCCAAAGCATTAGGCAAGGTACAGTTACACAAAGGAGGGACACATACATGCATTTCTTCAAAGGTATGAGTTGCTCGCATGGAATAAATGTGAGGTTTGATTGCCTTATGCTAGCGTGTATACAGCACTGCAAATTTTATTAAGTCATAAAACTAAACCAGGTCTATATTCTGTAAAAACATTTTGGCTAGCATTAAAAGTGCTTTAAAAAGGAACTTAGCTCAGTGCTTCTGTACTATTTGGCAAGTTTCATGATTTCCATGTCAATAATTTTTTCTGTCCCACCACCACCAGGCAACTTTGAGTGTGGAAACCCTGATAACCTAGAAAGTAAATGCATTCCAGTTAGTGTGGCAAAGGAATATATAGAGGTAAGCAAGGTCCTGACATTTTTCTATTATGGTATATATTTGTATCTGCTATTTAGTGCATTAAAACGACCTTCTATTTTATTTTTTCCCTTCAGTAATTCTGTTATTATTATTTTGGCTGTTACTTGGTTGGCATTTTTTTATTTTGGGTTGTTGCGTTGGAAAACCTAAATAATATGACTGCTGAAACTTGCAGTTTCTTTTTCCATTTGAGAAACCAAAATCTTCCAGCATTTTAAAGTCGTTGCTTACAAAGCAGTAGTAAACACATTGCTTTCCTCTTTTCTTTTTTGTACCTCTCTATAGAAAAGGATTGTTAGTATACTATAGTTATGCACACCTATGGAGTGCATCAAATATGATCATAAAATTATAGTCTTAGCTACTTGGAAAACTGAATAGAATCCTAACACTCATTTTAATGTATTTAAAGTGTTGCTAAACTAATTGTGCTATAAATAGGAGACTGCCTGGGTGGGTGCCCTATGTATATTTTCTCAAATTCCGTGGAAAAGCAGATGGAATATAAATATAATAAATTAAATAATATGGAAAGAATGTATTTACAGAAAAGTCTCACTGCTAGCTGAATGCAGAATTTAAATCTTGGGGCCCACTTCCTTACAGAATGTGACTGCCTACAGTGCACAAAGGTTTGCGGATGCTTTGCAGCGGTTACTGGACAATCACAGAGACTCGGGCATATGGTAAGTTCATTGGAATGACCTGTGTTAAATTTATCTCCATATCTGTTCACTATCCCATGAGATTCAGTGGAGATGTGACTCAGGGAACCATAAGTGACTGTTTAAAAAACAAGCAGTGTAAGACTTTCCCTAGGAAGACCCCCAGGCTTCTAGAACCAGCTAACTACAAGTGTTCTTCTAAGCCTGGCACTGTAAGATGTTTTTATTTAGATTTGCATTTGATCTGCAGAATTTGATACCCACCAAGTTGCCCACCTGTGGTTTGGTAATTCACCTCCTTATGCTTTCTGCCTGAGATTGCCAAAACATGGGTCGACGGGCATCTGGAAGGTCATAGTTGCTAGCTGTGCAGCTCCATAACGCTCAAAGAAATGAAAGGCTGGATTTATAAAGGTGCAGTTGTACCAGGGCCCAATGCCTGCAAGGGGGCTTGGACTGAGCTTCCTTTCTCTCCTGCTCCTCCTCCTCCTCCTCCTCCTCTTCAGTGTCCCCCTACATCTTATAAAGCAAAATTTGCAAACACCCTTTTAAGCAATTTCTGAGAGATAAGCCAGCCTGGCTACTCCCAATTTTCAGTGTTTGTAGTCTGTGAATGAAGTCAGAACTGTGATGAGTGAGTTATTTGGACAACATAGTACAGGAATCCCTGCAGTTCTAAAGAGCTGCTTTTCTCCTCTCCCCGTTAGAGTGTGCTTCCTTTCCTGCTTCTGTCCTTGGGATTTCTATAGTTTCTTTCCATTCTATTCTGTTCCTTTTTAAAATGAAAGAAAACCGATCTGCTCTCCACAATCCCCCACCCCCAGTGGCTATAGGTAGTGTTCGAAACTCCCATTGTTCTAGGCGCATTTTGCGACAAGCAGTTTCATTAGTGCAAGCAGTTTCTGAGCTCTGGGCGCAGTACTGCACCTAAAATTTCTGATTAAAACTGCAGAGTGGAAGGAGGACTTTTTCTGCCTCCCCACTTCGAGCTACTCTGAAGGCTGGAGATGAGACCCTCTTAAAAATATTAGGGGATGGGCAGGGAAAGGACTAGACCATCTTAAAAATGAACATAATATTTTAGCAGCAGTTAATTCATTTTCAGCTTTGTATTCTTGTTATAAAAGAAGTGTGCCTAGACATAACCTAGGTTTAAGATGCCATTTAGCTCCTAGCTTTCATCTCTCAGTTTCTAACACTGGCTATAGGTCTAAAATAACTCCTTAGGAATAAATCTATTGTGCACTCTAACCTGGGAGCAATAACAGCTGAACACGAGTGGAATAGTGCATCTAAAGCTTCCAACCATCTGCCCAGGTTAGTATTGGTTGAAGGCTTGGAGGTACCAGTATATTTAAGTGGGAGTGGGCAGAAAAATCTGGCCCTTTTGTAGTACAAAGGTGCATCGCTCTGGTTAAAGGAACCAAAAGTTGATACCTATGATAAAAGCACCAAGTCCCCTTTTGTAGCCATTTAATGCCTCCTCCTGTATCTCCACAACAGGCATGCGAAACAGGTTTCACTGACTGACCCAGGTTAGGAAGTGAGCAAAACCTATGAGATTTGAGTATAAAATATGAAAACGTGTGTGTATTCATTTTGTTGGTTGTCAAAATTTTCGTGTTTTGCTGAGAGCTGTAAAACTGCACATGCTCAGAGTATTTATTTGATAGTCCATGAAAGTAATAATAAATTTGTGAGTCTTTAAGAAATATCTTGACATATTTTCTGGTGCTCTATTTCATGCATTCCTTTTGGGAGGAGTGGGGGGGCCTGTTTGGTGAACTTCACCAGCCCTCCAACTGCCTTAATGTGGCCTTGATGATGTGTGCAGGCCTGACTTGTAATGCTTGGCTGTTACACTTTATTTCCTTTTAATTGGGGAAACTAGTGTTGTGCAATGAAGGGGACTTCCTGGTTCAAATCTCACATCTCCTTAGGACAGTTGCTCTCACATTCATACCTGTAATATGGAGATGATAACAGCCTACCCTACAGGGGGAAGGTAGGGGAAGTCCCACTGCACACTCAGAAATCCTTGTGCTGACAGGACGCTTATTTAGCGCTGCTCTGGATATAACTCAGTACATAGACTGGCTGTCATTTCTCAATCTGAAACCTCATTGGATCATATGAGGTAAGCAATATTTTGGCACATCATAACTGAGAAACCTGAGACTCTCTCCCTGCTAATACTAGGGTGTTGCTTGAAATACCAACAGTTCAGAATGCAGTGATCTCTCAGTTATGGAACAAGGGTACACCGTGCCATTTCTGGTCTTTCAGGTGGACTGTAAAACTGATTCCAGTCCTCTGAAATTTATTAATTTTATTTTGTTTTACGAGATTGATACTGAATACCATGTACTTTATGCAGGTGGTTGAAATATGAGCTTGGTTGTGCTGGCCTAGCTTTCATGTGGTTTAAATTCAGGAGATTCACGGAGCATTTGTTCTCGTTCTCTTGTGCTCAAAGTAAATGTAGTTATATTAAAGGGAAGTTTTATGCTCTTTAAGGCATCTATAACACACAAAATTTGGATGATCTTGGTCACATCTTCAGAGTAGCTAACTTGCTCACTGGCATAAAGGGCAATATCCTTGCTGTCTTCAGTTGGTTCTGGAAGAACAGAATAAGCTTTTTTCCAGCAGATGAGTTTGTTTATTTGTAAATGGTGGCTGCAGACTGTGTCTGGAGAGCAAACATCACCCTGTGCAAATCATTTCAGCTCTTTGAAAAATCATGCCATCTCTCTGAGTGCCTATTATATATTTATAAGGACTTCCTTGCCTGTCTCGTCCCGATATTATAGATTACTCTCTTGAACTGTGAGGGAGATATCAAGAGCCACTTGCTGCCGGCAGGGAGCCCATATAAATATATTTTCAAACTCTCTAATACAGATGTGCTATTTGAAAACACAATTATTTTGGTGAGCAGGAAAGGATGGATAATAGCAATTTGAAATGCATTCCTTTGCAGTTACCAGGGATTCACGCCAGCTAGTGTGCTAAGATTATTCCGTCTCCACTCATCTTAGTTATTTCTGTGTGGTGTAGAATTCTTTATTTGAGATTCTCCATTTGAAATCCTGCCTACAAAAGTTACTGTTGAAATTCCCATAGGCCTCAAATGCCTTACTGTTTCTCATGAAGCTTTTAGTCATGTCTCAGTTCAGTTTTTTTGGTAGGGTTAGCCTGTTAGGACCCTGTTTTCACAACAGATTTTAAATCTGTTCAGCCACTGTGGCTTCAGTCTAACCAAAGATATTGGGAAAGATTGTTTTAAATTAGCCCTTTCAGCCTTTCACAGAAGTCCCGGCACACTTATAAGCATGATGTAGTGGTTAGAGCGTTGGGCTCAGACTTGGGGTATCAGGGTTCAAATCACCAATAGGCCGTGAAACTTGCTGGGTGACCTTGGGCTGGTCACTGCTTCTCAACCTCACAGAGTTGTTGTGAGGATGAAATGGGTAGGGGGAGAATCAAGTATTCTATTTTGAGTTCCTTGGAGGAAAGGTAGGATATAAAAATAATAAGAAAATAAATAAATAACTATAATTCCTCGAGTTCGTTGGGGGGAGCCATTGTTGTTAAAATGGTATCAGATTCAATCTTTTATCAAGGCAGAATGATAGAAGAGTAAAACAATTTGCCTGTATATGTGTCCCTTTAGAAGCCGGTGAGATTAGTGCACAAATTTGCATAGAATGCCAGGTACCAAATTTTAATTATTTTAGTATGGAATACAGTTCTGAGTAATGCTTTGAAGGTGATCCCAAAAGTACAGTCTTGCTGTGTTTTCATGTAAGTTGGTAGATGCCAATGCCTCAGTTCAGTAGTGTTTATTAGATTTCAGACATAATTTTGAGGCCTTCTTAACTCTCTCACTGCTGTAGAATAATTCAACAAGCCCGAGGCTGTGAGCAACAACAAAATACTCTCCTCCCCTAATCTCATTATCTAAAACTCTGCTGTAACCTAATGTTCGAAAACGTGTTCCATTTTTCCATTCTTTGTATAGGAAGACTCCACACTGCTAAACACTGTTCCCTTAGGGACATGCTTAGAATTGCTGGTGGGATGGAATTCAGTGCTTTCTAATTAAGATTTTCTTCACTGTTACAAGTCATAGCCTGGAAGCGTAAAATACACTCCCCAGTTTTGTATTCACCATAATTAAGAGTTTCATCAACACTTGAGCAAATGGATCCTGTTCTGGCAGCTCAATATGAAACTCAATAAGAATGTACAGCATACTAAAGACCTGCTGCAGGCTTTCCAACAAATGTTGTGCGAACTTATTTGACACTGTTCTGTTAAGAGCAGAACCAAATAAGACAGCTGTGCTTGGAAACCCTGCTGCATATTTTAAGATCTTTCAGAAACTTGGGATCCAAATAATCCATGGGGATGGGTAAAAAGTTGAGTGTGATGCAGCATGTCAGGAGCTTATGTGCACTGCTCAGCAGTGTTTCTTGGCCAACTGATTTGGACTATCTGTATGATGAGCTATTAATTGCAACCCTGGTGTGACATCAGTTAGCTGCCAAAAATGTGATCACCTGGATTTTTTTTATATACACTGATTGAAAAGGCCTGGAGACTGGGAATTCTACAGCAGGGCTCTTCCAGATTTCCTTTAGTGAGCCTGCAGAGACTAGAGTCAGAGTGCGGTAATTGCTGTACTTCTTCCATCTTTCTGTTTTGCGGTAATTCCTTTATCTGCCTTCAACTGCTGAAAGAGGTTTTCACAGGCATTTTACCAGCATGTACTAGGGCTGGGCAATATCAGCTTTTCAACATTGCAGTGTATCACCAGCCAAACACTGTGGTTTGGCGATATACCATAGTGTTGAAAAAACAAGATGCATTGGTCTCTGCGTGCAAGACACCAGGTGAAACTGCCCCAGCTCTCACCTCGAGTTGCACCCAGGCTCACAGGGTGGGACAATTTAGCTTGTTTGCGCCACTCAGCTGGGAGGATGAAAGGTCCCCCTCCCAGCTGAGACAGACCCAGTGCTCTTGCCACTCGCACACAAGCAACAGAAGCATCGGGGCTGCTTTGCGCAGCTCAGCTGGGGGGAGTGAACGCTGAGATTGCCCTGTGCTCTTGCACAGGCAGAGCATTGGGGCTCCTTTAACTGCAGCAAGCACATTCCCCTCAGCTGAACATTCACAGAACCCCCACCCTGTTGCAGGCTTGTGTGAGCCAGGGCTGGGCTAGGGGCTTCTTTAACTGCGGCAAGGGCAGCTGCACACTCCTCAGTCAAACAGTTTAAAGATGCAGAGGGAGGAGTAAGCTGTATCGGGGCCCGTCGGCAGAGTAGAATGGCAATTTCACTCAGTGATATATCATTGAGGAAACCACCACCGCTCCTGAGTTCCTCTGCTAGTGGATGCTGCTAGCAGTGGGACTCAGGAGCGGTGGCGGTTTCACCAGTGATATACCGCTGAGTGAAACTGATGTCACGGTCTGCTCCACATACCGGTCCTGGGTGATAAATTGATATATCACCCAGGCCTAGCATGTACAGACTCTTAAATTCTATATTCACACATTCTGCTGTCATGCAAGTCCATTTACTCAACTGCATGGTTTGAATGCACTCCATGCCCAGTTGCCAAATATCCTGAGTCAATCATCTCTTGCATTGAGACTCTCTTATCACTGTTTACTCTGCTGGGTCCATGGGAAGCCAAGTTCCTGTAAAGCCCCTCTGGTATCTGAGGAAGTGTGCATTCACACGAAACCTCATACCAATAACTAACTAAGTTGGTCTCTAAGGAGCTACTGGAAAGAATTTATTTTATTTGTTTCGTATTGTTTCTCCTCTGGCACAGTTAGCCAAACTATCTTTTTGTGGGGATTAGGAGCTGGAATTATCCTAGTGGCCATTTCCAGGGTTTTCTCATTTTGCAGGATGAGGTTTTTCCTTATTGCAGATTTTGCACAGAATAAATTTGGTGTGCATATAATTGTAGGCTTTCCCCTCATCCTTTTCCAAAGACGCACCAACATTTAATGCAGGTGAACTTAACATTTTTCCCAACAAAATTAACTGCTGGAATTTGTTTCAAGGAAAATAGACTCAACATTCATGCACACTTTCACTTGATCTCTGTGCAGTCACTGGAGGAGGGAATCCAGTTTAAAAGTTTAATCTCCTGTATACTGTACTAAGAGGTGCTGTCAGAAGAAACAAAAATACTATAGAAGAGGACTACTTTGCTACTGTGCTATCTTTGTTTGCTCTCCTCTCATATCCTCATCAATCTGCTGTTAATGAGCCACTGCTAGAATATTCTGAGAAGGTTGGGAGCAAAAAACTAAGGAGTGTGATGGAGAGGATAGCATGTTTATAATAAATATGGACCATCAACTTCTTTGCATTGTTCAGTCAAGGAATCTTTCTGCTTCATCCTTTCAGGTTACAAGGCGATGAGAGTTCCGAAACAGTTACCGCAGTGAGCCAAGTGGTTTGTCTCGAATCCACCCGTCCCCGAATGGGCTTAGGCTGCCGTTTCCGCCGGGCACTGAATACAGCAATTACTAACCTATTTATATTCTTTTGGAGTAAGTTTTCCCCTACTTTATCTGTGACAGCCAAGATCTCCCAACAGTCTTATACAGTGTGAGATTCTAGAAGGTTGAGGGAATAATGAATGAAATTGCTGAATATTTAATCTTGGGCCTAACAGCAAGAAGCAGTCTTGAGACTGGCTCATGCACTGTGGGTGTTTGCCATTTCATGAAAATCATCCCGTGAAGGTCTCTCTGTGTGCACCACAACTTCATGCATTTGTGCTCTGGCATTTACCCCAGTGAATTCTGCCCTCCTCCTCACAAGGCACTATTAATACCCTGCTTCCTTAACAGTCGCAGTATTATTCTTAGTCATGCATTGCTGACTAAACACAGATCATGCACACACATTAGGTGAGATCCAAAGTAGTGTGGTTAGGCGTACATTCGAGCAGCAGGGTTTCTGCTTCCTCTTTTTCTCCTGCAGCCATCTGTTCTCCCCCTCAAACCTCCAGAAGGTTCCCCCTCCCCCCGGAAATTTTGGAAGCTGCATGAAGAAGAAGCAAAACCTGGGACCCCACTGTGCAAGAGGATTTTCGTTACACAAATGGGCAGACCTCATTGGGTGTCTCCTGTTGTATGGGGAATACCCTGCAAAGAATGTGCATGTGAATGATATAAATGGGAACAGGATTTAAGAGGAAAATACCAGTAGTCAGCCTTTACGCAGCTAGTGTGTTATAGTGGATGTTGTTTGGATTTAGACTTGGGAAGGGGAGACAAGGTTTCAAATTCCCACTCAGTCATAAAGTTTGCTTGGGCCAGTCACTATGAATTGTCAGGATAAAATGGGATAGCTCTGAATTTCTTTGCTGAAAAAGTGAAATACTGTGATGATCTGCCAAGCTGGTGAAAACAATGTGTTATTTTGCCATACTTGTAGCTCAATCCTTCACTGAAGTCTTAATAGTAATTTAACTTTGTTTGCCGAAGCATAGAGATACCCCGGGAGCTAGCAAAGCTAGTCTGATTTTATTTTGTTTTTAATCTACAAAGATTTCAAATGGTGTTCAGGCTTTATTGGGTCTCCAAGTGAAGAAAGTCTCATAGCTATGTAGCACCTTCCAACAAACACGTCTCTACATAATGGCTATATGCTGGGTGCATGGATGGGATCTTAAGGATTGCAATGAAATATTTCAGGCTAGCTCATGTGTATTCGGGAGATTTCATCTCTGTGCTTCCTTCCTCACAGGTTTAGCTTTCCTTTGGGGGATTCTGATTCTTCTAAAGTATTACTGGCGGAAAAGGGAAGAAGAGGAACGGGACATGTATAAAATGGTGCAGAAAATCATAGGTAGCATTCACCTGCTAGTCAAATTATAGGTAAAATTCTCTCAATTTCATCAGTTTGCTTATTTGCCTGACTGCATGCATTGTTCTCTCAACAGCTGCCGTCCAAGGTCACTACAAAGAATGGGAGCAGAATCTGGAACGGTACCCATATGTAGGCATCCTTCACATCAGAGACACACTCATCCCACCACAAGACAGGTGAGTTTTTCTTTGACTTTATTAATGGTCCTGATTAAGTTACCGTGTAGATGTGGGATCATTCTTCCAAAAAGGTGGCTAACCAGTTGTCCCTGAGAAGCAGGCTGAGGAAGCAAGTATCCCCTCATATTTGTCACCAATATTTGGAATGCCTAAGAACTATTTTCCTCCAAATATAGATAATAGCCACTGATAGGACTAGTCCTTCAGGGATGTGCCTGATCATTTCAAGCCATCTACGCCCGGGAACACGATAACCTGCAGCAATGAGTTCTATAAGTTGATTGTTCATGAGTCAAATGAATATTTCCTTCTGCTTGGCCTGATGCTTTTGCAGATGATGTCTTTTGAGTTCCAGTATTTAGAGAGAGAGAGAGATGGACAATGACGTGGAAAGTTGGAAAGGGGCCTTTTCCCCCCTTTTGTACCTTCAAATGTTGGCTGCTACAGAAATGATCCTTGGTTGATCGTGCTCTAAGCATTAGATTAGACCACCATTTTCCTGCATTGCACAAATGCTCAGCTTTGGTTACAGTGCTCTTTTTTTATCCCCAGGAAAAAAATGAAGCGGGTTTGGGACCGAGCAGTGGACTTCCTCGCTTCAAATGAGTCACGTATTCAGACTGAGTCGCACAGGGTGGCAGGAGAAGATATGCTGGTGTGGCGTTGGACGCAGCCTTCTTACCTCTCTGATTCAGATCATTAGCTCTGATCAGAGGCCAAGCCATTGGTTTAACACTGTGCAGGGCAATGTGCCCTCTTCTAGCTAGGGAATGTCCTGTTGCCCATACTCAGGTGAACCCCTGATACTACTGTACATGTGTGTGAGAGCTGTAGAATGACTCCTTGGGGGTGATCATTTTCTGTAAGGAATATAAATGTTGAAATGCAGGTGCACACCAAAGTTACTCTCATGGCATATATTTGGCTTCCATAACATAACAATTAGAAAAGAAGAAAAAGGATTCCTTCCCTAATTGAAAGATGCCATTGATAGTTTTGCTTTGGTATTAGGGAAGCCTGTATCTGACCATCTACTCAGAATGTCGGTGCTAAGACCACTAAAAGATGCTTCGTAAAGGTGTTCATTACAGAAGCACTGTGGATAAGAGTGGACAACAAATATGCGAGGTATATTTGTTCTTAGAAACTGATCAGGAGTAATCTGCTGGCATTGTTTATTGGGTGATGGGTGGGACTGAGAGGGCCAGGTCTTGAACCTTTGGAGGCAAGGTGGGAGGGGCTTAAAGCTTTTTTCCTTAGGCAGTGGTAGGTGAGCACATTTTCTTACGAGAGCAGTAGAAAGCATTCAGTCTTAAAATGGCTTGGTGGGGAGCACCGGAAAGCAACAGCTGTGCTTTTGGGTCGTGTGCCATACTAGAGAGCAGATGGGGCACCAACAGTCTTTGGTACAGAATCAACTCCTCACAAATCAAGTGTTTACAGGATTGCCCAAGGAGTGGAAATCTTTTATTCAGCCAATATAGTAACATGTTTTGCGCATATAGCACCTTAGTTGGTCCAAGTTCATGCTGGTTTGTTTGTGAGGGGGAGAAACGCACCAAAATTGCCATGCACCTCTTCAGTGACGTCATAAAGTCCGAGGCTCTGGCATGATGGCACGTCATTCCATTATTGGTTCAGGGCATCCACCTAACTCGTTATGAACTTCACCTCTGTCCGGTGGATATAGCAAGTTGCATATGAATTTGGAATGAAGTGTGCACATTTGAGCCTCCCTAAGTAAAATGAGCTGAGCCTTTATGGTATCTTTTATGACATGTTTTGTTTCAACTGGCATATTTATTTGCAAGTGGGTGGTAGCCTGAACTTGGAGTTTGCCCTTTTACTCCCCCTGCTGGCTGAGCTGAAAAACTGACGGATTGGAATTTTCACCTAGGTGCCCTTCGAGGCTGTTTTAGCAGCATGCAGCAATTCATTATGTGCCTCCTGCTGATTCATCAGTGCTGAAATCAGTGCAAAGAAAAGCAGCCTCCAAAAACAAAGCACCAGGAGGTCTTATTGGTTAAGTAGAAGAAAATCTTGCATTCATTTGAATTTTATCCCCACATGTTGCCATCTGTAGCGTAGGTGGTGTCTTAGAGCAAAAGAGATGTAACAGATGTCTCCGTGACATTAGCCATCCTTTTTTTTTTACACACAAACACTCCCCTTATACTTTTGAAGCAGATAATCAAATTATTGCTTGTAATGTATTCTTAATTTCTGCTGATGTTTGCAAAAAATTCCACAGTGCCTGCATTCTTAGGGCTTTAAAAGAAACATTTGTGGGTATTTTTTACCATCAGACTCTCAAGAGGAAATGCCAAACAATATTATGTACAGTTGACCAAGCTGTTCATTTATTTTTATGTAGGTGCTATTTATTATACATTTTGTCTCTGTCCATTTTATCTTGCAAAATAAAAATTTGCTACAAATGGGACTGACTGGTATTGGTAACTAGTACCATCTCCTGACAAGGCGGATGTAGGCAGTTTGATTCCCTGGATATTTAATGCTGAAAGCACTCCTGAACTGAACTTCATCTGATTATATTGGGTTGCAATGAGTTATAGACAGCACTGGACAAGCACAGTGGTACTTGTAAAAACTAAGGCCTTAGAGTGAGGTCTCGTCATCCCTGACCATTGGCCATGCTGGCTAGGGCCGATGAGAGCCTGATTCCAACCACATCTGGAGGGTACTACACTGGCCTGCAAATAACCAAAGCTAAACTCCAGCCTTCAGAAACAATGTACAAACATCCACAATGTCTGAGGATTTTAAAAGTTGAAGGGAAATGATAGGTTTCCATAATGGATTTGGAAGAGAGATCATCCTACTTTTGCCCCTGGTAAACACTTGTTAAGCCTGTTTGACCAAGAAGTGATAGTGGGATAAAAATCTCTCAAACTGCTTTAAACTCTTAAGACGTTCACCTGGTTTCCCGCAACACCCTAACTCACTAAGCTGGGCTTTAGCTTAGTGAGAGAGCATGTGAACATGCTGGCTCCTGGGGAAGAACTTGCAGCCACTTTGCTCTTTTTTGGTCCTCCTAGCTAAGGTTTGGCTTAGCATGCCAACCAGACAAGTTTGTTGTTAAGCACTCTCTTCACTAGCCACAAGCTGTAACAGATTCTCATTTACAATTCATGGTTAGTCAAGAGAGAGCTTTAACCACAAGTGTCAGGTTGGATGGCACACTATCATCAATGTTATGCATTTTTTGTATGCCAGGTTTCCATGGTAGAACCATGCTCAGAGTAGCTCACGACAACATACAGAATAAAATATAACCACAATTAAATATAATTCATTAACAGTTACAAAATAACACAATTTAAGCAAAACATCACACTAACAATCACTAGGGCAAACAAACATCTCATGTTAATAAATGCTGAAACAATGCCTAACAATAAAATACAAAACATCCAAATAGCACCAAGCCCTGGCCTTGCTTCGTGCAGCTGCAAAAAATGACGAGGAGCAAAACAGATGCAAGCTTCTACCCAGGGGCCCTTACATCACACAGTCATGTTTGGCTTAGGGGTCTTATGCAAACAAGGCCATGGTTCGTTTCCAGCTTAAAAGACCTGGTTTTCAGAATGTACTGAAATAACTTGTAAGACAAAATGGATCCCTTGCAAAATGAAAATACAAGCAATGAACTATGCCCTGAGAGATGGTAACCTCTAAACAAAGCTGGGGATCTGAACCCAAGGCCAAGTCTAATCCTTCACTGTACAGAAAATGTCACCTAAGCCACTAGTGAGGGGCTCAAAGAGAAAACAAACTGAATGCAGCCAGCACCGAGTTTTTCTTTTTGTCCTCCTTCGCCATTAATGAAATATTGGGGTAGCCCCTGCTTCTCCATCGCCCCATCCTGATCTGTGATGTAGCAGACAAAGTTTTACAGATCTTAGTTTAAAATGGTTTGTGCTTCAAAGGTACTGTCTGCAGCGGCTCTGTTGAAAGTTATTTCAGGGTATCGGATGCATGCCCTGTTTTTATGCCTTTTTAAAAGTACTGAGATGCTGATGTGCTTTGTCTATTTTTTCCCTGTGGCAGAGGCAGGCCCATGTATTAGTTAGCCTGTTCATCCAAATGCACCTTTTCAGCAAGAGTTGCCTTGTGTTGGGGCAGTTTCCACTTTCCATTGACTGTTTTCTTCTGTCATTGTGACACACGTTAGGGAGACTATTTATAAATCTCAGAAATCTGGGTTGATAATGCCATTGCCTCCTCTTACTGTCAAAAAGAAAGAAGAAATATGCACCAACTAAGCATCTAAAATAAAATTTGCCCTTTATCTTTTTTATTTTCCATTTCCATTAAAGGCTTTTCATATTAAATGTTTTGTCTCCCACTGACATGACAGCTGATGCTGTTTTCTATTTATGGGAGCCTAGTTTGGGAACAGTGCCAGTTCTACTGGGAAAATCAGCATGAAGTAAATAATAAAAAGGAACAGGCGGTGAAATGTGCCCAAAGCATCTCATTTCCCAAAGGCCTGGACTGTAACCTTCAAACACTTAGGCCAAATTAGATGGTACGCAAAATGCATAAATGGACTTTACATTTTTACACTTTTGCTTTATATAATGGGGCAGGGGGAGTCAGAACCATGACATCCAAAGGGGAATGTTCACTTGCTTGCTGTTGAGTAGCCATCAGCAGCGGTATCTTCCATGACTTTGTCTAATCTTTTAAAGCCTTCCAGGGTGGAAACCAGCACCACATCTTGTTGGGAGTGAAGTCCATAGCTTATGTTCTGTGTGCAGAAGGTAAAGGGACCCCTGACCATTAGGTCCAGTCGCGGACGACTCTGGGGTTGCGGCGCTCATCTCGCTTTATTGGCCGAGGGAGCCGGCGTACAGCTTCCGGGTCATGTGGCCAGCATGACTAAGCCGCTTCTGGCAAACCAGAGCAGCACACGGAAATGCCACTTACCTTCCCGCCAGAGCGGTACCTATTTATCTACTGGCACTTCGGCATGCTTTTGAACTGCTAGGTGTGCAGAAGGTACCTTCCAGCAAAATGTCAGATAAGCAGAGTGAGCTTAAGGTTTGTCCCCTGAATGACAATGGTAAGTCCATTGTTCCCTTTCAGATAATCAGTCTTCAGTGTGATGGCTGTGCATTTATTGCATGGGATGCAGCTCTCTTTCCCAGTGGTAGTCCTTTTAATCTGGGGATAGCTCACATTCTCCCACTGGCATTTTATTGTTGGGAAAATGCTGTTCTTTCCTCTGGAATGTCTCCATTGTTGCAAATGCACATGTTTTCTGCTATTATAGGCATGTATTGGGTAGTGCCTACTTTATACCCATCTCTCTAGAAAGACTATTGGGGTAGCCAATGTGGTACCTTCCCACAAACCCCAGCCAGCATAAATTGTAGCCAAAACATCTGGAAAGTGCCGTATTGGCTACACTTGCTATACCTCTCCTGTTCTTTTATAGGGGATAGAATAGCTACTGCCCCAGGTAGCAGCCATCACAAGTATAACATTGTGTATATAATCTAATCATACACATAAAAGGTAAAGGACCCCTGACAGTTAAGTCCAGTCACGAACAACTGGGGTTGTGGTGCTCATCTCGCTTTACTGATGGACAGTTTTTCCAGGTCATGTTTACCTTCCCGCTGGAGCAGTACCTATTTACCTACTTGCACTTTGATGTGCTTTCGAACTGCTAGGTTGGCAGGAGCTGGGACCAAGCAACAGGAGCTCACCCCATCACGGGGATTCGAACCACCAACCTTCCGATTAGCAAGCCCTAGGCTCAGTGGTTTAGACCACAGCGCCACCCACATCCCTATCATACACATACACAAATATAAATAATCTGGAAATGCTATCATTCAGGGCATTGACCATTGGAGTTTTTGGGTAGATATGATAACTCAGATGATTTTTAAAACTAGTGTTAGATCATAAAGACAACCCTTGTTCTCTACAGCTGTAGATAAGTCCATTTTAAAATGGCAAGGTCCCCCCCTCCCCCCACCAGCCTTTTGTCTTGAGTTTTCTTCCTGAACTCCAGCAGTATGGGGGTTTGTCTGCTCCTTTATAGATTTTTAAAAAGTGGTTTTAAGAGAACTGTGGAGAATTTGCACAGCAGAATATACAGTTGTACAAAGAACCTCAAAGACGTACATTTATATTACAAACCTAGCTAGCTGATCCTTTTAATTGGCAGCAGGCTTAGCAGTTCTACAAGGTTTATTTCCCCCCAATAACAATCAAACTGGTAGGGAGGCAATGCAAACCTACTGCAATAAAAGAACACAAACCCATTAACACAAATTCTAAAACCCTGTCCACAACCCCAATGCAAGCAAAATATAGCTATAGGCTTTGGTGCAAGCACTGAAGGACTTGCTTGCCGTTCAGTGTTTGATCAGACAAGAGGCGGCAGATGCCCCACGTTTCCGTCACTGAAGAGGAGCTTCTTCATGTGCTTCTTACTGGAGCTACTGTAGAGTATGAGCCGTCCTTCCACTTGCTTCTGCCAAGGCTGGTGACAATTATTCTTCCTGATCAAAAATTGAGGCTCTTCCTCAAACCTCTTGAGTGATGCTGGAAACCAAGCTTCAGACTCTGCACAGGAGAGATAAAAAGACTCCGCATCAACGCCAAGGATTTCCACATAATGAATCACCGCCCACCTTGTCCCTACTGCTCTGTGTGTACAATCAAAACTCATTCATTCTGGTGGGCAGAGAGAGAGCTGAAGGTGAAGATATTAGAAGCAACGTTGCCCATGGTGAACATTCATCCCACACTTTTCTCTGTTTGCAGGGAAGGTTTTTCCAGGTGGTGTATACATCACAAAACAGGATGCCCCTATTGTAGCACTTTCCATACTCCTTAAAAAGATTGTCTCTGCTCTCTAGGCAAAAAAAAAGCACTGTCATCCTTGGACCTGTGGCATTTTTTTCATATGGTTGCATATAGTTAACCCTAACAGAACTGTCTTACTGTGTGAGCAATGCTCATCCTAGAAATGCTCAAGCTGTAACAGGGTTAGAAGCCCAAGCCAAGCCTCAGTAAGTTTTCTACAAGCTTCTAGTAAATTTGCAGGCTAATAATTTTTGCTCCTTCCACATACAGGAACATAGGTCTCTGCTGTGGTGTCTGAGAATAGTACATGGGTCAATCATAGAATATTTGCAGCTGCTCTGAAGAAAATGAGTGGATTTTTGGGTATGGAAGGAAAATTCTCTACACAAAAGAGAAAAACTGGCCAGGACTCCAAGCAGTAGGTCAGCATGTTGGGTGCAAAAATAATATTTTAGTTCCGTTAGCTGGCAGATCTTCATGGAGAGGCTACTACATGTGTGCATAGATGCATTAAGCAGCACTGGACATGGCAGCTGTCAGGCAACTGACATCGGAGCTAGAGGCGGAGGGGAGGCTCTCAAATGATGCTGGAGAAGGGCCCAGCAGGGAGAGAGGCAGCTCAGCAGATGGGGAAGCAATTCAGTGCAACACCAGGGAGACAGGGGGGCAGCTGGGGGAATCGGCGAGAGGGCTCCAGGACTCTTCACTGGACACCAGCGGGGAGAGCACTGGTCCCCCGCTACCCACGCCCTCCCTGCGCAGAAGGCTTCCGCGCAGGGAGAGTAGGAGGAGACTTGGCGTCAAACAACTTTTATGTTGGAAAAGGTTTAAGAAACGCCCACTGACGGATTCTGCTAGCGACTGAGGCAGCCACGAAGTGAAGGGCTGTCCAGACAGAAAGGTT